TGGTGATGATGATGGTGACGATGATGATGGTGTTCCGATGATGATGTTGTTGATGTTGATGAGGTTGCTGATGATGATGATGTCGATGATGATGATGATGGTGATGATGATGATGTTGATGATGTTGACGATGATGGTGATGGTGTCCCGATGATGCTGATGGTGGTGATGGCGATGGTGCCCCGATGGTGATGATGATGTTGACGATGTTGATGATGATGATGATGATGATGCTGTTGGTGATGATGATGGTGCCCCGATGATGATGATGATGTTGATAATGATGTTGCTGATGACGATGATGGTGCCCCGATGATGATGGTGATGTTGATGATCCTGATGATGTTGATGATGATCAGATGATTTGGTGACGATGATGATGCAGATGATGATGATGATGATGATGATGGTGTCCCGATGATGCTGCTGATGATGATGAGGCTGATGATGATGCTGTTGATGATGATGATGATGGTGATGATGATGGTGTCCCGATGATGATGATGCTGATGACGATGATGATGCTCATGATGATGGTGATGATGATGATGATGATCATAATGATGGTGTCCTGATGATGATGAGGATGCTGATGAGGTGATGCTGATGATTTTGATGATGGTGGCCCAATGATTGTGATGATGATGTTGATGATGATGATGATGATGATGATAATGATGATGATGATGATGGTGTCCCGATGATGTTGATGATGATGGTGATGATGATGGTGACGATGATGATGGTGTTCCGATGGTGATGATGATGTTGTGGATGATGATAATGTTGTGGATGCTGTCCATGATCATGATGATGAGGTGACGATGATGGTGGTTTCCCGATGATGGTGATAGTGTCCCGATGGTGATGATGATGTGAATGACGATGATGATGATGGTAACGATGATGGTGTCCCGATGATGATGGTGATGGTGATGATGATGATGCTGATGATGGTGATGAGGTGATGCTGATGATGGTGTCCCGATGATTTTGATGATGATGATGATGTTGATGACGATGATGTCGATGATGATGATGATGATGATGATGATGATGATGATGATGATGATGATGATGATGTTTGTGATGTCAATTGTGCTATCGATCGCGAGATCGATCGTTAGAACGAATGTGAGATCGATTGTGATATCGATAGTGAGATCGATAGCGAGATCGATTGTGAGATCGATAGTCAGATCGATTGTGAGGTCGACCGGATGACATAGATCGAGTGAGATCGATTGTGAGATCGATTGAGTGAGATCGATCGAGCGAGACCGATAGTGCGATCGATCGTGAGATCGATATTGAGACCGATCGAGTGACACGTTGGTTCCTCCCCCGCCGAACCTCCTTATCACCCGAAGGGTGGTCGTATAGGTGTATATATATACACAAGGCTGCATTGGCGCTTCGCGCCATGCACCTTGTGCCTTGAAGCTTTGGAGCGGTTGGTCTTTCGCGCCTTCCTCTTTTTCCTTTGAGGCGTGCTCGCTGGCTCGTATCACGGAGAAGCGGGGGAAGGGGAAAAGGGGGCAGTCAACTGTGAGTCGGAGACCATGGGCGTACGGAATGGCGTACATGGAAATTGCTGAAGTCCTGGGTGCGCAACACAATTTCCAGAAAAGTGGTTGCGAACTTGGTTTTGTGGATAAGCTGCAGCGTTCCGTTCTGAAATGCCATTTGGGCGAGCGAGACCCCAGGGATCTACATGGGGGCCTGCCGAAGCGGTGTGAGGGCCTTCTGGCCCATCTCAGAGCCACCTCGGACTGTCCTTGGGGCGTCTTGGGACTGCCGCTCGCCCGTTTGCACGCTTGGGTGAACGTTGAGAAGGCGCCCGGGAGAGCTGGAATTCCTGGGTGGCCCTGTTGAGGAGCGTCCAGACGGTGTCCCCGGGCGGTCATGGAGCCGCCTATGGGCAGTTTGGGAGTCGTGGGGCCGCTTTGGGGATTCAGGAAGTTCTAGCTGGAGCGGTGTTCGGAGCTTTGACCATGTTTTCGGACGCCTGGCAGGCCGAAAGAACGGACGGTAGTAAATCTTACAACATCATTGAAACATCCGTGTTTTTCGGGTTCGAGCGCGTCTTCGAGGCACCTGTCGGGTCGCGTCAGGGCATCCGACGAGGGCCAAGGCCAAGTTGATGCCATTTTGGACCGTCGTGGGCGTGTCTTGGGCCTTCCGCCTGCCGCCTTGGAGTCAGTTTGTGGCGGTCATGGGGCCGCTTGTGGGCAGTTCAGGAGCCTTCTACGGACGCCTGGCAAGCCGAATGAGGACATAGTCGAACATACATACAACAAACTACAGCAAGGTAAGATGTTCAGGGTTTCGAGCGCCCCTTGGAGATAACATTCGAAGCGCCTTCGAGCATCCAGCAAGGGCCTGGACCGCATGATGCCATCGTGGACCGTTTGTGGCGTCTCTACGGCCTTGCGCCAGCCGTCTTGGGGTCTCAGTTTCGGGCGGTCATGGGGACTCGTGTGGGCAGTTTGGGGGCCACTTCGGGTGCTCATGGGGCTCATTTGGGCCGTCTAGCAGCGATTGTCAGTGCGTTTCCAACGTTTTCTAACATCGATGTTTTTGGGGTTCGAACGCTTTTTTGGGGTGACATTGGGGTGATCTTCAGACATCCGGCGGGGGTCAAGGCTAGCTGGATGCCATCCTGGACCGTCTTGGGTGGCTCTTGGGCCTTTCGCCGATCGATTTGGGACTGCCACCCGCCTGCGTGCACGCCTTGACAAGGATTTCCAGCCTCCCCCCGTGCCACGGATCCGGGGGGTCCCGTTTCGGACGGGGGGGTTCGCACCCTCCCGGATTATAAAAGCATAGACAAGGGAATGTGTATACATATATATATATATAGAGAGAGAGAGACAGAGAGAGAGAGAGAGACACACACAGATCTATATACACCACATATATACATGTATGTACGTACACATATGTGTTTACATGGACTGCCCCTGGCACCCACTCACCGTCTGCTTTCCCTTGACGATGTTGTAGTGCCCTTCTTCTTTCCTCATCCCTCATTTCCTCTTCCTGGTGCGTCCTCTTCCCTCCTTCCCTTTCTTCGCTTACAGATTCCCTTGACATCTGCTGACGCATTTGTTTCCACTCCACGGGCGAGCGCGCTCTGGCTGCCAGGCCAGCCAAGGCCCAACGGCAGCGCATTGTAGAAGATGCAAACGGCGTTCCCCCGCAGAGGAAGCCAACAATTTGAGAGCCATCCCGCAGACGCGAGGAGCTACCGAACCTTGTGATTTCGCATGGGTGCGTGGGATTTCTGGGGATGCCCTGGATGCCAAGCATCCCAGTGAATTCACAGGATTCCGCACGTCAGGGTAACCCAAACTCAAACCTGGCGATTCCATTGAGGCTTGGGATTTCAGGGGGCCTGTGGAGGGCCCTGGGAAGCCCGAAATCGCGGAAAAACCGAAGGGCCCGCTTCCCTGATGAACCGTTCCCCCCCATGGCGACCATTCTCCTCCCATGCCCTGAGGACGCTCCCTCCCGGGGCGGGCGTCGCCCCAGCGACCGTCGGGGAGCTGCTCGCGCGCTTCGCCTCCGCCGATAGCGCCGAGCGCACGCTAGGCGCTCTCGAGGGCCTCCAGAGGCACGCGGGCGTCTGCTCCGCCGCCGGGACGCCCTTCGAGGCTCGGGGGAGGGGCACGTGCCGATGCCGCCCTCCTCTGCACGATGCGGTCCGAGCAGGTGTCTCGGGGGGGAGCCACCCCGACCCCGACAATTGGCGGTCACTAAACGGCCCTGGGCGTTTACGAAGCAGTCCTGCCCTGTTCGATTCCTTCCATGGGTGCGTTTACCAAAGGCTTCGCTTGCCAGGGTGCTTATTCTGAGGGTGAATTTTCTGCTCCGAAATGGGGTTGGAGGATCGCGCCGCATCGCCGATTCGGCTCGATGCGCAGCCCGATTCTCTTCACGCCAACGTCGCCGATGCACCGCCGACGTCGCCGATGCATCGGTGATGCAGTTGGCAATGCCTCGCGATCATCCTTTCTCATCTACTCGGACCCAATCTGGGAGGCCTCAACAGTTTCCAATACCGCCCTCATGCCTCGGTTTGATTTCTCTGGATCTCCTGGGAGACCCTCATGTCACGGCTGGAGTCGCCTTGAAAATTGTTGGTCGGAGCGCACCCTGGGATAGGTCCAGAGGCCTGTCGAGGCTCGAAGAAGATCAAACGGCATCAACATGAAACGTGTGAAGCTCCGCGCGGATTTCCTGGGTCGGCGCTGGCGTAAACCAGGCGGCGCCTCTGGCGCCGCCCCTTGGCGCCCTCTGGACGCCAGAAGTAGGGGGAGGCCCAGCGCCGATACCAGAAAACTGCGCGGACGAGTTCGCAGTGGCGGCGCGCCGAAGGAGGACGGCAGAGTCGCGCGGTCTGGCGATCGCAGCGCACCCCCGCCCCGACGTGCCCCAACCCGCCCTGGCGTCACCGTTACCGCCCCCCCCCACCTCCCCGGGAACAAGCGTTACCCGAAATACTTACAAGCAACCTCGAGGCCGTTTCTGTTGATGTCGTTGTATGTTTGGCCGCCTGGGTGGGGTCAGAGCAGATAAGGGGTCGGACGATCTCGCCGCATCGCCAATGCATCGCCGATGCGGCTCGATGCGGAGTCCTACTTTCTCCACGCTGGCGTCGCCGATGCACCGCCGACGTCGCCGATGCATCGCCGATGCATCGGCGATGCGACGCGATCTTCCGACCCCATCTATCCCGACTTCACATAGAAGGCCTCGGTGTGCGCCGCTCGTGTGGTGTAGCAGGGCACGGGCTGCACGGTGTTTGGGCGATTTCGTGGGCCGTTTTCGTTTTGAATTCCTTCTGCGACGAAGGCAGAACGAACACATAAGGAAGGACAACGACACCTACACGAGAACAAACTACACCGTTGAGCTCAACACGAGGAGAACAACGATACCAGTACGACAACATAGCGAGAACAAAACGATAACACAACGAGCATGACAACAAAGCGATGACGAAACACACTGCTTGGTTCGAGCCCTGTTGTGTAGCCTGTGCTCTCGACGCTTGCCTGCTCCTCTATGCAGAGGCACTGCGCGAGCACTGCGGCGGGGGCGCGCCCTGGAAGGCCCGCGCGCCATCTGGCGAGAGGAGGAGGAGGAGGAGGAGGAGGAGGAGGAGGAGGAGGAGGAGGGGAGGAAAAGGGAGGAAAAGGGAGGCGCAACGGTTCTAGCAATCCAGCGTAACAAAAAGAGGACGAGGGAGCTAAAGCTAGGAGGAGGAAGAGGAGGAGGAAGAGGAGGAGGAAGAGGAGGAGGAAGAGGAGGAGGAAGGAGGAGCAGGAGGGGGAGCAGGAGGAGGAGGGGGAGGAGGAGGAGCGCGATGGGGAGGAGGGGAGGAGGATGGGGGAGAAGGAGGAGGGGGAGAAAGAGGAGGAGGAGGAGGAGGAGCAGGAGGGGGAGGAGGAGGAGGAGGAGGAGGAGGAGGAGGAGGAGGAGGAGGAGGAGGAGGAGGAGGAGGAGGAGGAGGAGGAGGAGGAGGAGGAGGAGGAGGAGGAGGAGGAGGAGGAGGAGGAGGAGGAGGAGGAAGGAGCAGGAAGAGGAGGAGGAGGAGGAGGAGGAGGAGGAGGAGGAGGAGCGCGATGAGGAGGGGGGGGGAGGAGGGGGGAGAAGGAGGAGGAGGAGGAGAAAGAGGAGGAGGAGGAGGAGGAGGAGGAGGAGGAGGAGGAGGAGGAAGGAGGACGAAGAGGACGAGGAGCAGGAGGAGAAGGGGAAGGAGGGGGAGGAGGAGGGGGAGCAGGAGGAGATGGGGGAGGAGCTGAATGAAGATGAGGATGAGGAGGAGGTAGAGTCGTCGTCCTCGTCCGTCGCCGTCGTCGTCGTCGACGACGACGACGAGGCCCGCGCCATCTGGGACATGCTGCACGCGAGGAGGTCGAGGCCGGAGTACCAGGCCGCGCCCCTCGCGGGCAGGCCTGTGGTGGTGTGCGGCGCGGGGCCGTGCGGCCTGCGCGCGGCGCTGGAGATGGCGCTGCTGGGGGCTAGCGTGACGGCGATCTTTCGGATGCAACTCCCTCCCCCCCCCTCCTCCCCCTCTTTCTCCTCCAGGCTTCCGAGCGTGACGGCGATCTTTCGGATGCGCCTCGGGAAAGGACAAGGCACCGATACCGTTACCCTGGCCTCGTTTTCCCCTTGTTTGGGCCTCCTGGGAGGCCCTCGTCGCCACGGCTGGATTAGCCTCGAAATTCAAATCAGAACGCACCCAGGGAGAGGTCCGGGGAGTAGCGTTATCGGTATTTCTGGCTTTCTTTATTTGGGAGGCGAAATTCAGAATCGGCCGGCCTGATCCGGCAGATATTCTCGCGTAGTTCCAGCTAACGCCCGCTACATCTGACTCCGTCGGGTTTTTGCCTGGGGTTCATCTGGCCTATCTGGCTGAGCGGCCCTGTTCATGACATTTTATCATGATTAACAGCCCTTCATCGTTGTTACGATGACCTCCCAGAAGTTGCCTCCTGAGGTGATCGAGAAGCGGGGGCTCGCGGACGCGTGCGGCCGCATCAACAGGGTGCACCTTTGGGAGTGGTGTAAGCAGGACCTCGTCCAGTGGGGCGCAAAGCTGTTCGACCCACCCGGCGGCGCCTTCGGCAGGGACAACGACTTCTGCCACATCCCGAGGGAAAACAAGCTGCATAAGCATACATGCCAGTCGGTGAAAGTAGGTATTTTTGGGGCTCCCAGATCCCAATCCACTTTAGGCGCCTTCCTGCTTCAAGGTTCGAGCGGCTGTCCCTTTCCTTCCTCTTCAGGGGGCGGTTGGAAGCCCAACCTACGTCAACGCCTTCCCGCTTCCTGCTTCTAGCCACTTCAACGCCTCCCCCTTCCCACTTCAACGCACTTCATGTTTCTTTCCACTTCATGCTTCTCACACTTCATGTCTCTTCCCACCTCAACGCCTTCCCCCTCCCCACTTCAACGCCTCCAACCGACGGGTAACTCTTCCCAGCTCGGCGGGAGTTTCTTGGATCGGCGCGGAGGCCCCGCGCCTCCGGCGCCGCCCCCCGGCGTGCTCCTCGCGCTCCGGGGAGGGGAGGGCCCAGCGCCGATGTCCGGGAAATCCGCGCGGAGCTCCGAGGGGGTAGTTTTCCACGCCTTGGCATGGCTCGGACGTGTGCATCGTTTTTTGTCTCGGCAGAGATCCGCGAGGGGCATCCTGGATCATCTTGCGAAAACCCACGGGGGCATGACATCGAACATCGCACGGGGAAGGAGCGTCCGAGCGATGGCGAGATGCCGCTTCCCCGTCCCTCGGACATCGGGATCGGCGAGCTGCAGCTGCTGCTGCTGAAGAACGCCCTGCTGCTCGGCGTGGACGTGCGCTTCGGGGCGGAAGCCCTGGCCGTCGAGCAGGGCGAGCTGGCCTGCGCGTGCGGCGCGAGGCTGCCCTGCTGGTCGCTGGTGCTGTCCTCCGGCGCCAGCTCGCCCATCAGCCACGCCGTGGGGCTCACGGGGTCCCCCAGACGCCGAGCAGGGGATCGATTCCAGAGTGGATTCACACCAGAGGTGATTTGTGCTCGTCGAGCCCATGAGGAGTGCGCAGAGTGTTCGCAGATCTGCGAACCTCCCACGTCTGACCCGACGAGAAAATCAACTCTCGGGCAAACCGATTCTGTAGACGATCCCCTACTCGAAGAACGGTGCGATGACCGCACCGCGCGGCGAGTCCGTGGGCGTTCGGGGCCACCGCGCAGTGTTGGGACCTGGGCCGCTCTCTCCGAGGACGCCCCCCGGGCGACTGGAGCCTCCGAGAGCCCAGAACCTCGCGGTGACGTGCTGTGCAGTGAGGCCTTCGGGGGCTCCGAGGTCACCGCGAGGTCTGTCACCGCACCGTTGCACCCCGAGGCTCAACCCGGTCGTCGTCGGCCTCCGCGGGAAGGGCTCCGCCATAGGCGTCGTCGCGAACTTCGCGAACAGTCAGGAGGCCGACCAGATGGCGCTGCGCCAGTTCTCGTGGGCGCGCCAGTTCAACGCCCCGCTCTTCAGGCGGATCACCGAGGAGGTGTCCGTCGACTTGGAGAACGTGGTGTACTATAAGGGAGCGCGCCACCATTACATGGTGATGACGCCCACGAAGGTCAGGGCGGCGAAATTTGCAGAGATAGCTGGATTCCCCCTCCCCATGGGAGGCAGAAGGAGGGGAAGAGGAGTAGGGGGGAGAGGAGGAAGAGGAGGAATGGAGAGGGCGCCAGGTGTGGCTCGGCACCCACGTTCGGTGCCGCCGGGAAGAAGAGGAAACGGCGAGGAAAAGGACAGAGAGCAGAGAGGGGGCAATGGGGAGAGGAGGAGGAGGAGGAGGAGGAGGAGGAGGAGGAGGAGGAGGGAGACGCAACGGCTCTAGCAAGCCAACTTTTATCCAACGTAAAAGAAAGGAGGAGGAGGAGGAGGCAGCGAAGGGGAGGAAGAGGAGGAGGAGGAGGAGGAGGAGGAGGAGGAGGAGGAGGAGGAAGAGGAGGAGGAGGAGGAGGAGGAGGAGGATGAGGAGGAGGAGGAAGGGGAGGGGGAGGAGGAGGAGGAGGAGGAGGATGGAACGGAGGAAAAGGAGGAGGGGGAGGAGGAGGCCCCCTCCGAACAAAAACGAAGGCCTCCCTGATCGGGGCCGGCGTCCTGCGCGACGGCCAGCCCGCGGGCGGCGAGCTGCTGTGCGGCGGCAACGTGGACGCGGGCAGGCCGCCTGGGCGGGGCCGCGGCGAGGGGGGGGCGGGGGAGGCGGAGGAGCGCTCCTGGCCCTGCGCAGCATCGAGCGTCATGACCTTCATCGGTCCTTTGGCGTAGATTTCCAAGCACACGTCGCGTGGCCCACAGAAGCTGCTCACGAGACCGTCCTCGCGGAAGGGGGCCGTGGTGGCTTGCCTTCTGGCCCCGGGTCGAGGCGCCCCGCCTCCGACCGCGGCGGGGTCGCCCGTCCCTGTGTTGCGCTTCAGCGGGGGAGCCATTCTTCCAGTGGGAGCCCTTCTTCCAGGAGGCGGGAGGCCGGGGAGGCGGAGGAGCGCTCGGAGGGGGACTGGCAGGTGTTAGGTGTTTCTCAGGCGATCGCAAACATGGATCAAGGGGGCGTGGACTAGCGGCGGGTCCCGCTTCCATGGGAAATCACGAATTTCCGCCGCCGAGCGAGGCGGCACAGGCCGCATTTTGGGGAGGGCACCTCCCCCGGATCCATGGATCGTTAATCCATGTTTGCGCGGCCCCGAGTTTCGCTGCCGGGAGCCTTGGTAAAGAGGGGTCTTGAGGGAGAGATGTCCCGAGGCCTTTCGCCGTTGTCGGGCTCTCGGGGCCTCCACGGGCCCCGGGAGTGTCAGCAAACTACCCAGGATGAAGCACTCGTCGTGGGGGAAGGCCCTGGGCTCCAGGACCCGTTTCCCACAGGATCTCCGTTTTCCACTATGACAGCGTCGGGAGCTTTGAGACGGGGGTCAATGCAAACGGGGGTCAGCCAGGGCGTCGGATCTTGCAGGATCCTGCAGAGCCAGGGGCGCATTGGCCCGGGTCGGGGCGCAGGATCTTGCAGGATCTTCGGGATTCAAGGCCCGATTAACCCAGGTTTGCATTGACCAGGGTCAGTAGATTCCCGACAATGTGGAGGGGGTTTTGGTAACTAGCAAATCATGGAAGCCCTCATAGGCCCTCGAAGTGCCGCGTTGCGGAGCGTATCAGCGTGCGCTAGCGCCTGGTGCTCGAAGGGGAAGCACCGACTAAGGGTCGATTAGCATCGACTTAGCGTCGACTAGCGTCAACCAGCGTTGACTCGCAAGTGAAAGCAAGATTACATGCGAGGCTCACATGGGTTGCCACAGAAGGGTTAGAGAGTCAGCTGCATGAGCGACCATGTATCGAGGGACGCGCTGGGCGGCGGGGCCGGAAGCGGGTGCAGGCAGCAATTGTCGTACTTCCCCCTTCCCAGCCCCTCCCCTCTTCCCTCTTCGTCTGGCCTGAAAGAGCGGCGACCAGGACCGAGGATCGTTGCAAGAAGGATCGAGGAGAGAAAATGCAAAATGCGCAATCCTCCACCCTCGATGAGGGGGAACGCTCGGGCGGGGGACCGGCTCCGGGGGGGAACCATCCAGCTGGAATCGGTGGTACATCGCCGACAGATCGGCGATAGGCCCCCGATAGCGAGCCCGTGCGCTCCTTGGCGGGGTGGGCTATCGAGCCCCTATCGTCGGTGAGTGGGCGGCTGGGGCTCGCAGCGTCCACCCGTGAACCCATCCTCTCCTGAATCCTGAGCCGTTCCCCCCGGCTGTGGCGAAGGGGGAGTCGGAGGAATGAGCGGCGACACCACCACCACCACCCCACCAACAGGGCCCACCACCAGGGGGGGGGGAGGGGAAACACCCCACCAGGAGGCCACTCCCTGGCGCCTCGCGCTGGTGGCGGTGGTGTCGCCTTCTTTCGTTGCTCCTGGGGAGGAGGCGGCGAGGGGGCGGAGAAGCGAGGACTCCTTCGGAAGCCTTCGGGAGTTGTCGTCGGTTCCTGGAGGTTTCCTCGCCTCGGGGTGCTTTCCAGCAGCTGCTCATCGTCGAGAACTGTCGGGGGGTGCCCGGAATTTGCCCCGAGCGGCCGCCAGAGCCCCGAGGTGTGATCCGAGGGCGTCGAGGGGACGGAAGGTGTCCGAGGCGGCGAGGAGGAGGAGGAGGAGGAACCCGGAGCGAGGAGGAGGAGGAGGTGCCCGGCCAGGTGGGGGCGCCTGAGGCTTGGAGGTCCTTCTTGTCCTCCCTCTCGGACTTCCCTCTTCTCCGTAGGCGATGTCCTCGCCTTCCCGAGCCAGCGTGTTGTCCCTTTCTGTTTTCTGAACGGACTGTTGGACTCATGCGTGCATCCGAAGAACGAGCAGTAGGAGGAGGTCCCGAGTAGATCAGTGCTCGGCACAGACATTACGATACATATTTCCCTGTCGTCGTGCGGGGGGGGGGGAGGGGGAGGAATCTTGCACAACCCCTCCTTACGAGAGGGAGGGAGGGGGGGACAGGAGGGGCAGGGGGACGGAGGAGGAAGAATGAGGAGGACGAGGGGGAGGAGGACCACCTCCTGCTCCGCCTCCTGCTCCACCTTCTGCTCCGCCTCCCCCCTCCCGCCCATCCCAAAACCCAGCGCTCGGATGATGCTGAAAAGCCTTGCTACCTCACAACACCTCGCCCTGCCTCTTAGACCCCCGACGTCATGATTGTTGACGACGTGGACCCCGAGGGTTCTTGATTTATGTTGTGCCCATCGTACTTGAGGACCACATCCCAAACATAAGTTCGAGCACCCATGAAAGTATCGAAACAGTGTCGAACGAGTATCGCCTCTCAGGGCCCGACACGTGAACACCCTCCGGATTCTGTATTTTCTTGGTGTTCAATTCTTTCTGGCGGTCAAGGCTAAAGTAGGTTGGAACATTACTAGTCTTGGCCCCTTCGGGGACTGGTTTTTCATCCAGTCGTTGTCTGGACGGGCCGGGGGCCAGAGGCCAGGGGTGAGGGCACCCAGAAACCGAAGTTTGCCAAATAATTCCTGTCGTGATGCTTTCGCAATGCGAGCGGGTCTAGGCCTGGCCCATGAGGAAACAATCCTGGAGGCCTCGCGCGGCGCGCAAACGTTGCATGATCGAGTCTACATGTCCGCCCCGACAGATATGGGACGACGCTCGCGCGACGATGCTCCGCCGCAAGTCCGAGGTACGTCCGACGTGAATCCGGCGTGATCCGACGGGAACCTGACGTACGTCAGACGTGAAGCTCACGCGCGGGGCGTCGCAAGTCTCCGCACGAGGCCCCCAGTGTTTGCCCTCGGACGGCCAGGAGTTTGGGCTGAACGTGTCGCGCCGCCGCTTCTGCCCCCCCACGCTGTGGCGCAACACGCTGTCCACGTCCCAGCCCCCCAGGCGTCAACGTCGACCCTCTCCCGATCTGCTGCACCGCGGAGCGGAGCGGCGCGCTGTCCACCCGCAGTGCAGAGCGTGTCGCTCGGGGCCGCCGCCGCGGCACGCGAAGGAGGGCAGATGCTCCCGGCCGCAGTTTGGCCCCTCCTGTCGGGGGCGGCAAAGAGGAGGATGATGATTAGGGGGGGGGGATATCATGGCGGGGGCCATGAGATGTCCCCAGATTTCGTGGCGCCTCTTCTTATTCCATGGCGTTTCTGGCCCCCCCGCTGGGCCGCGCACATGCCGCCGGTCATGATTTACACCCCCCCCTCTTGGACACCCCCCTCTTGGCCGCTCCCGATCCTGGGCGGGGAGGCTGCGCGAGCTCACGAGCAGCGTGGCGGCGTTCTTCGGGCTGCCGGCGGACGCGCTGCTGGAGGGGCCGCAGGGCGCCACGATATTTGACTTCAGCGGCGTGCGGACACCGCACCCGAGGGCAGCGGCGGGGCGCGCTGGAACCGTCGGTCGTTGCCCCACCAGGGGGAGCCCCTGGCCTTCCGTTCCTCGCATACATTGATATTTTGACATGGTTGTTCTGCCATTTTTCGCAACACATTACTCCATCGACTTACCACACATACCAGCAACCACGCATACCTATATGTGTATATCTAGATGTGACCTGTTTGATGCTATTAAAACTGTGCATCTTCGTATTTGTATAGATCAACGTGTACGAATACGACTAATTTGCTTCAGGAAGCATCTCACGCGACGCGCTGCTGCTCGTGGAAATATCCGTGAGGGTTTCGCATCCTGCCGCGGGTCCCCTCTCTCGAAGAAGGGGGTCCGCAAGAACTAGGTTGTGAGGCCCGGGCGCAGTCATGAAGCAGCGTCGGAACTCCGAAGGGGGGTCACTAGAGACATGATCGTGCCAAAGTCCATCAACAAAACAAGCGAAGGAAAGTCGCAGATGTTGGCGTCTTGGGCCCCTGTTTTGGGTGCTACTGGGGCGCTCTTGGGGGTGCGACGCTTGCTTTCCCGCCCCGGCTCAGCATCCAGGGGCTTCGGCGGGACGCATTTGGCCAATCCCAGTACCAGAAAGGTAGCTTGCCAGTCTTGAGGTCCGACTCCAAGCGGCATGCCGCACTGGAGGCGCTCGTCCGCGCGTGCTCGCTTGAACCACTGCGGTCGCAGAGGCTTCGGAGCGGACGACTTCAATGGACTGCGCGCCCCGCTGGAACGTGGCGCTGCTCCGGCTGACCTGCTCTAAGATCCGACTGCTGGGAGCCACCTTGAAAGCTGGGCGGTACTGCTCTGCAGCGCAGTACCTGTCCACAGCACGGAAATGGCATGAGAAGCGCGACTTCCAAATTCTAGACGCTTCGCGTGGAGTCTCTCCGTGCTCGCTTGGATTGGCACGCCGCTGACGTGTGGCGACATTCCAATTCATCCGCCATTTTGGTATGCATCGAGGCCTTCCTCCTGGTCCTCACCGGCACCGGCTTGAACTACCCGGTCTTCCGCGTCGCTTTCGCCGCCTGAGTGGCAGCGTAGCCCGCTCCTGCTGCGTAGGGCCTGATTCCGCCCGCTGCTCGATAGTTGCGAGTGTTCGGACGGCGCGCGGTTGGACCGCGACGCTCGCAAAAGAAAAATTCCCACCAGCGTGCTTTCGGTGCCTGTGTGATGTTCCCCGCGCCATTTTAGCTGCGCCACGCCCTGTTCCGCGTGGGGAGAGCAGAAGAGCGTTCACCTACTCCCCTACTCGTTTGGAGCCACGGACTGGCGAGTAGGAGAGCGCTCTCCTACTTGCCTAATCTCCTACTCGCGTGGAGCCATGCGCGGGGGGAGCAGGAGAGCGCTCGCCTACCCGCCTAGTCCCCAACTCGTTTCGAACCACGAGCGGGCGAGTAGGAGAGCGCTCTCCGCCCCACCTTTTTTCCTACCAGTTTGGAACCACGGGTGGGAGAGCAAGCGGGCGCTGTCCTACTCGGCCGTCCGTGCTTCCACACGAGCAGGAGAGCAGGCGAGTAGAATCACAATCTCCTACTCTCCCACCCGTGAATCCACATGGGTGGGAGAGAGGCGAATCGGCTAACCTTCCCCTATTCCCCAACCCATGGTTCCAAACGAGCAGGAGAGTAGGCGAGTAGGAGAGCGCACTCGCGATCAAGCAGGAGGATTGTTGGTTTCTTTCTCCGCCCCCTGAAAGATGGGCCCTGTCCAATTACAAATAAGGCGAATCACAGCCCAGTTTACAACTAATCGGCTGTAGTTCTTTTCCACACATACCTTCGGCTTACAACACTTGAGCATGTACGAACCGCGTGCGGTCGACCACGGACGTGTTGCGTACTACTACTAATACTACCACTACGACTACTACTACCACTACTACTACTACTACTACTACTACTACTACTACTACTACTACTACTACTATTACTACTACTACTACTACTACTACTACTACTACTACTACTACTACTACTACTACTACTCTTACTCTTACTCTTACTCTTACTACTACTACTACTACTACTACTACTACTACTACTACTACTACTACTACTACTACTACTACTACTACTACTACTACTACTACTACTACTATACTACTACAAGTGCCTCCACTGCTGCTGCTATTCGTATCATTACTACTAATACAAGTAATACTACTTCTGCTACCACCACTTTTATCATTACCTACGATTCGTTTTATCATTACTACTACTACGACTACTACTACGACTACTACTACTTCTACTACTACTACTAGGACTACTACTAGGACTACTACTACTACCACTACTACTACTTTTACTACGACCACTACTACTCGTACTACTACTACTACTACTACTACTACTACTACTACTACTACTACTACTACTACTACTACTACTACTACTACTACTACTACTACTACTACTACTACTACTAATACGACTACTACTACTACTACTACTACTACTACTACTACTACTACTACTTCGACTACTACTACTACTACTAATACTACTTACTACTAACTACTACGACTACTACTGACTACTACTACTACTACTACTACTACTACTACTACTACTACTACTACTACTACTACTACTACTACTACTACTACGACTACTACTACTACTACTTACTAATACTACTACTACACTACTACTACTACTAACTACTACTACTACTACTACTACTACTACTACTACTACTACTACTACTACTACTACTACTACTACTACTACTACTACTACTACTACTACTACCACTACTACTACTACTACTACTACTACTACTACTACTACTACTACTACTACTACTACTACTACTACGTGTACGGTATAACTGGTACGACCAACATGTTTTGATTTGTGATGTTGACGCTTACGACGACTACTACTAGCGACTGTTCCTTCGCCCACCGCTCATCCCATATCCTTCCTCCCCTCATTGTCCCCCGTCCTTCTCCTCCTTTCGTCGTTCCCTCCCTTTCCCTTCCTCCTGCTGCCGCCCCCGCCCGCGACACCCGCGAGCCCACCCCCCGCCCCGCGCAGGAGGCTCGAAAGCCCCACTGCCATGGCGAGCGGGGTGCTCGTCTGCGCGGTGGCTGGCGGCGCGCCAATGAGGGGGGGCGGCCCTGTGCCATAAAACGAATTGGTCATGGGGGAAGCGGTCCTGAAGTTTTCCATTGTTTTGCGGTCTCCGATGCCCTTGACGGGCCGCCTGGCTGTCAGAAAACGACCCAGACTTCCGACGCCCGTCATCGAGCCCCGGAACCATCAGAAACGGACCCGGGACGAGCGATTACGTCCCATGAGAAAGTCGGTAGTTTCGGGGCCACGTACTGGAAAAAAAAAAAAAAAAAAAAAAAAAAAAAAAAAAAAAATTCTGGAGGATGTTTGGGAGAGGTGTCCATCGCCTTCAGGGCTCCCAAGTGGGGTCCGGGCAGATGGGGTCGGAGGATCGCGCAGCACCAACTGGGCGGCTGGAATTGTTGCCTGGTTTTGTCCACGCCGACGTCGCCGATGCATCACCGATATATCGACGAATCGTCGGCGACGCGGCGCCATCCTCGGACCCCATGGGTTCGGACCCCATTTGGGAGGCTTTTGTTGCCCGAGGTCCCCCCAGATCCTATTGAGCCGTCCTGGAAATATAGACGGAAGGTTGCTGGCAGTGTTCGGCCTCTGGGGGCTCTCACCCGGCCCCAGGGCCGTCAACAAACGCTGCTCAGGGTGCACCGGCCCAGGTGGAAAGGGTCGAGATCCCCAGGGGCCACGTCGCGAAAGTAAAGGCGACGTCGAGGCGGCCGTCCTTGGCATTTCTCCGCCGAAGCGGGTGATTTCGGGATGGCTTTGGGATTGATTTTGAGCGGGATTGGGCTGGGCGGTGGAGCCGCCGTTGTTTTCTCAGTCGGCTTTCCTCCGAGCATGGCACCCCAGGCCCAAGCCGCCCCCTTGCAGGTTTTCAAGGGGGGTGGGTGGTTCACGGCCTCACTTCAGATCCTGGCGTCGCAAAACATAATGCGACGGCTGGTTTTTGAACGTGTTCGGTGTGTTGGCGCCGCCTCCCAGCCCCGCAAGCATCGAAGAGCTACCAAGGGTAACCCGACGTCCGCAAATCCTTAGACATCCCACGCATTGACAAATCTAGGCGGAGGCTGTTCGTTGTTTATCTGCCTTCAGGAGTCCTCGCCCGGCCGCGGGGGATGCGGCGGCGAGCCCGGGGCCGAAGTGAGAAGGGGCATATCTTATCAGATGGCTGGGAAGGCCTCCGGCCTTCAAAGAGGTTCTGTAAGCCTACTCCGAAGACGCACAACATTTCTCATAATGCCAGAGGGTTTCTGAAGAGCCCAGCCGCCTACTGAGAGGGCCTTCTCCTTCTCACTTCCTCCCCTCGCTCGCCGCCGAGTATTGAATTTTTCCGGGCGAAGGACCCAACCATATTAGGCCTTCGGTGGAGCCCCGTATGGGGCCACAGAGCGCGTGAGGGGTGTGCTGCAGGAGTGGATGGGAGGAGGGAGGGGTAGGAGGAGGAAGGAGTGAGACGCTGGGCGCTGAGGAAGGAGTGAGACGCTGGGCGCTGCTTCTTCAAAACGAAGACCCAACACCACAGGATGGTTTGGAATTTGTTCACGCTTCGCATATCCCCACCAGCCCATTCAGAAACCTTGCCTATGGGAGCTGACGGGGAATGGAAAGAACAGACACACATGGTGAAATAGAGCGGGCAATGAGAGGAGGGGGAGGAGGGCGTTGAGCCGTCTTGGAGGCATCCTTGAGCATCGGGACATCTTGGTGACATTTTGGAGGGCATCGATCACATGAGGAGGGGTCCTCGATGTCGACCCCGCCCTTCAGGAGCCCCCCCAAAATCGCCTCTTCGAACCCTCTTGTGGCTCTCTTGGGGCTCTGTCGTTTCTTATGGAAGAGGAAAAAAGATGTCGTTAGACCACCTACGCCAAGAAATCTGGTTGGATTATCCTGGCGAAGGGCCCAACCATCTGCAGTTGTGGATGTCGTGTTGAGGGTACCGCTTTTGGTGTAGCTCCCTATGGGTCCTCACGGTGAGGGGTGTGCCCAAATTGGCGGAGAAAATTGCCTGTGGACCATGCCGCTGGGGCCTTCGGTAAAATCATCAAGACATCGGATCTCTGGGGCTGCTTCTTGGTACGCCCCCCCTCGACAAGTGTGCCCCGGGATCTCCAAGAGCGGCGGGCACGTGGGCCTGCGGAGCCCCGCTCACGAGGCCCAGTGATTCCCTGGGGGCCTCCAGCGCGGGCCGACTGGCTGGGGAGGCCTCCCCAGCCTGCCTGAAACAGGCAGGTTTCAGGGGAGAAACATCGGGGGCGGCGAAGAGGGGGGTGATGACTAGGGGCGGGGGGGATATCATGGCGGGGGCCATACGATTTCCCCAGATGTCATGGCGCCTCTTCTTACTTCAATGCGTCCCCTGCTGGGAGAATCAGCTCGTTTACAAAGTAGTTCGGGCGCTTGCAACCCAGATAGCAACCCCGCGCAACTAACTTACAAACGGCACGCAATAATCGCAAGCACATGCAAGCGCGCCTCATAGGTACTAAGCCCCTTGGGCTACTTAAAGCACTGTGGGGTCGACCCCAGAAGCTCAGGGCACCGTAGTATCCAGCTTACCGTAAGCGTGTGACCACTTGAGGCAGCTTAGCGAAGTCGCTTCTTGAGCTTAGCTTGGTTTGCTTGTAGTTGGGCGATGTTCGATGGCGGTGTCGGTCAGCGAAGTCGACTAAGCAGCTTCGGCAAACTATACTAAGTGGGTTAGCTGCTCACGAACCCGAACCTGGCTTGTATTGCTTGCCTCTGGCAAGTCGCAGGCTTTCCTCACGCAGGATCTATATATAAAGTATGTCGAGTCGGATTTCTGGTCGGGGCCAAGGAAAAAACACTCATCAAACATGCCCATACGTGAAAGCAAGCAATACAAACAGGAACGTATTGGCATAACCAGCGGCACGCGTGATGCTTTGTGTTTTTTGCCCTGCGTAGCAACGTGTGTTCGACCAGGCGCGCAGAGTACGCTTCTGTCACGCAGGTATTGCCAACGGAGCTTCAATCAGGTTCTGGCGAAGAAACGGCCGACATACAGTAATTCGTGGACAAGTACAACGATAGCGACGATACTTCGTTACATTAAAACAGGCGGCTGATTGTTTGAAGGTTGTTGATTTAGTTTACATTTACATTACCAAATTTGCATATAGACAGATTTGCCAACAATGTTTCATTATCCCACATCCAGAAAGCAGATGGGGATCTGGTTCGGAATGTGATGACCGTCGCACTCGTGGGTAGCATCGCAAAAAATACGTTGGGTTCAAAAGGAGGTTGGCATTTTCATCTGCATCGATACACCGCCATGGGCCCTTGGACCGCAGTACCTTGAATGGAGTGAGACTCTTGCCGCCGCCTCGGATGGCTACATTGCGAAACCAAGTCCTCGCGCCCGATTGTGCTCGTTCGCGGGATCCCACGCGACCGCGATATTCAGGTGCGCCCAACACGGGACGAAGGGAGTTAATCGAGACGTGTGCCGTTCCGATGGGTCTCTCAGCAAAGGTCGAGTGCTGTCTGTGCGCCCGTCGATGTCGGAGCCCTTGTCTATGCGCTCGAAGTGCATCGCCATTCGGTGGCAAGTGGAGGGCAAGTTCAAAGGGTTGGCAGCTCGTATCCAGGATTGTCTGATTGCGAGAGCCGGCGCACGTCGTCTACAATCCAAGGTAGGGTGGCCACTCATGTCAACTGCAAATCAAATGCCCATCCTAAGCAGCATCGCGGCCAGCTTTGGTAAACAACAAAAAATGAGTTGTTGTGTTCAATGTTTCACATGAGGCCCATGGGGGTCGGGGGGGTCGACAGGGCCTCGGGGGGGCCCAAGTGCTTCTGACCAGCATGGCGCCAGCCCTTATCCCGCGTTTGTTCAAAGGTGGCCACAAGGTTGCCATGGGCGACATCAGGGCCCACGAGCTCGCCGGCTCGACATCGCGGAGGGCATCGAGAGGAGTCGCGCTCGCCTCAAGAACTGCGCCCTGCCATTGCGCGAGCACGCCCATCACTTCGAGGGTTGCGAGACGCCGGCGCTCGCCCGCGACGCCGGGGATTTGGCGAACAGAAAAAAAACGCCCAGCGAGAAGCAGGGAGACATTGGGCCAACCGCGCGCGAGATTTTGGCAACAATTTGTTCTTCCCCAGGGGCTTGACTGGACGGCGGGGCGTCTGAAAGCGTCGCTCTGCGCGCCGGGCGCCCTCGTCGAGGATGGAGTTGCGCGGGCATTTATGCGCCCTGGGCGCGAGGCAGCTCGCGCCGGGCCAGGTCAGAGAGAATGCTCTCGCGGGCGCCCAGATCTCGGGCGAAGAGAACTATGCACATGCACCGATCCTGGCAAGGCCCATCCCTGACCCAGGATCGGTGCATATGCCTTCCTGGCCAAGGTGGGAGGGCGTATGCGCCGGTCCTGGGCTCAGGATGGGCCAGGCCGGAATCGGTGCATGTGCATAGTTCTTTGTCCTCTAAGATCTACGGGCCCCTCAGACAGTTGTCGCGCGACGCCGAGGCCTGGGGCGCGCGAGGCCCGACGCCTGCCCACGCGCGCCCCGGATCGGCGGGCGGGGGCGGCGCGAGCGACGGGAGTCATTCGCGCCAGCCCCGCCCGCCGACCCGGAGAGCGCGCTAAGTTGCGCGAGTTTTTGCGCGCCTGCAGGTCGCATCCAGCAACGGCGTGGCCGAGCAGATCGGTTGGCTCGACGCGCGCGCGGCAATGTTTGCGCGCGGAAGTAGGCGAAAACCTAGGCCCCGCGCAAGTGTTCACCGCGCAGATCCGACAATTTTCCGGAGGATCTGCGCGCTAAGTTCCCGCGCGCTCGGCAGGTGAAGGCCCCGTTCGAGCGCGCCGGTGGGGGGGCTGCCGATGATGGGGATGCGCGGCTAGTCTAGCATGCGGCGCCGCGATGCTGGAGCATTCGGCTTCCGCGGGATGCGCGCCCCTCGGCGAGTCCGCCCCGAAGCGCTACAGGGTTCGCGATCGACGCGGAGGCCCGGGCCGAGGTCTGCAAGGACGACGCGTCCACGAA